ATTACTATTACTTCTATTACTATTAGTATTCTATTTATATTACTATTTTTGTTACTGTAACTATTACTATAAATATTACTATTACTTCTATTACTATTAGTATCCTATTTATATTACTACTATTATTACTGTTACTATAACTATTACTATTACTTCTATTACTATTATTATTACTGTTACTATAACTATTACTATTACTTCTATTACTATTAGTATTCTATTTATATTACTATTATTGTTACTATAACTATTACTATTATTATTAGTTATGTTACGGTTACTATTAACATTCCATTACTATTCTAAGAGCCCATCAAAACCCCTTTGGTGTGTGGGAGACTTAGACTTACTTCCTTTATTGTCATTGCACAAAAACACGAGGTGAATTTGATAACGAAATGTCGATTACTTGGCTACCAGTGTAACAGCTAAGACCTTATACCATGCACAATAAATATGTATTGTATTCTATTCTATAACTAAGCACTAAGCGTAAAGAATTATACTTATACATATATATATATTGCACTGACTTTTTTTGCAACGAAATGGGATGGGACATTTGTTCATGCTCAGGAATATCTCCAGAGGTAGAGGATGCTTTTTGATGAATACAAAAAAGAATAATACATGTACAATATTGTAAATAATTGTCCTTTACCACCATGACTCATGTGACTGAGGGGCGGGGCTTAATCAGCTTATGCTTCATCTTACTCCTGTTTGAAACATGATGCATGTTTAGGAAGCATTCTATGTAAACATTGTAAAATCATATCACGTTTCAAAATAAACGAAATTAAATTAAATTAAATTAAATTAAATTAAATTAAATTAGATAAAATTAAATTAAATTAAATTAAATTAAATTAAATTAAATTAAATTAAATTAAATTAAATTAAATTAAATTAAATTAAATGCTACTATCTGAATGGAGCTGATGGCTTTTACTCACTGGGACTTTTCCTTCCAGCCAATCACACAAAAGGATCTGCAAATCCCTGCATCTGCCTTATTTCTGTGACAGAAATAAGGCAACTACACAGGCTCTGGGTCTGGTCAGGGAGTGGTCAGGGAGTGGTCAGATTGAGGCGGTTTCTGGCCCACCTGCTATGGACCCGGCTCCACAGGACACGCAGCGCCCCGCGCTCTCCACCCCCGAGAACTCCACCAGAGCCTGCCGCCTAAAGGGCATCATCAGCACGTAGCTGCAGGAGCACAGGGAGCGCTGTTACACAGGTAAACAGCCGGTAAACAGCCGGTAAAGAGCAGGTAAACAGCAGGGAAACAGCAGGGAAACAGACGGTAAACAGCCGGTAAACAGCAGGTGAAGAGCAGGGAAACTGCAGGCAAACAGCAGGTAAAGAGCAGGTATATAGCAGGTAAACTGCAGGTAAACAGCAGGTAAACAGTGTGTAAACAGCAGGAAAACAGCCGGTAAACAGCAGGCAAACAGCAGGTAAACAGTATGCAAACAGTAGGTAAAGAGCAGGGAAACAGCAGGTAAACAGCAGGTAAAGAACAGGTAAACAGCAGGTAAAGGGCAGGTAAACAGCAGGTAAACAGCCAGTAAAGAGCTGGTAAAGGGCAGGTAAACAGTTTGTAAACAGCAGGTAAAGAGCAGGTAAACAGCAGGTAAACAGCATTTAAACAGCGTGTAAACAGCAGGTAAAGAGCAGATAAACAGCAGGTAAAAAGCAGGTAAACAGCAGGTAAACATCAGGTAAAGAGCAGGGAAACGGCAGGTAAACAGCAGGTAAAGAGCAGGTAAACAGTGTGTAAACAGCAGGAAAACAGCAGGTAAACAGCAGGTAAAGAGCAGTTTAACAGCGTGTAAACAGCAGGTAAAGAGCAGATAAACAGCAGGTAAAGAGCAGTTTAACAGCAGGTAAACAGCATGTAAACAGCAGGTAAACAGCAGGTAAACAGCAGGTAAACAGCATGTAAACAGCATGTAAACAGCAGGTAAACAGCAGGTAAAGAGCAGGTAAACAGCAGGTAAACAGCTGGTAAACAGCCGGTAAAGAGCAGGAAAACAGCGTGAAAAAAGCATGTAAACAGCAGGTAAACAGCAGGCAAACAGGAGGTAAACAACAGGTAAACAGCAGGTAAACAGCAGGTAAACAGCAGGTAAACAGCCGTTAAACTTTTTGTTATAGCCTCGTTAATCTTGTTTTGAATCTTTTCCATAGTCTTGTTTACTTTTAGTACGTTTTGTCATAGCCTTGTTAATCTTACTTTGATACTTTGTTCATAGTTTTGCCATAGCCTTGTTTTGAACCTTGCCTGCTCATCCTTTTGAGTGCGTTTTTTGTTAAAATAAACCCTTGGAACCATCACTCTCCGTAACTTAGTCCTCCCTAAGATCCATGCTCTGACAGTAACCACCTGGGCTAAAGCCTGGATGCTCTCACCTTATTGGTCCAAACTGTTCTAGGGCGTGTATGAGGTCGGCCTCCACCACGGCCTCACACAGACTCCTCACATGCACCACCGGGCTAGGAGAGATGAGCCGGGGGCCCCCGTCTCCATCCTGAGGAGCAAACAGCCAATAGGAGGTCAGCCTAACCCTAACCCTAACCCCAACCCTAACCCTAACCCCAACAGCCCCATGGACATCAGGCAAACTGGGACTGAGGCCAGGAGGCCTGTGAGGGCCACCAGAAGTCCACCTGAAGCCTGGTCCAGAGACCTGACCCTAACCCTAACCCTAACCCTAACCCAGTCCAGAGACCTAAGCCTAACCCTAACCCCAACAGCCCCATGGACATCAGGCAAACTGGGACTGAAGCCAGGATCCCTGTGAGGGCCACCTGAAGTCCACCTGAAGCCCGGCCCAGAGACCTGACCCTAACCCTAACCCTAACCCACCCTGATGCCAGAGACCTAACCCTAACCCTAACCCCAACAGGGCCGGCTAGCCCCAGGGACAACAGGCAAACTGGGACTGAGGCCAGGAACCCTGTGAGGGCCACCTGAAGTCCATGAGGGGAATCAGCCCATTTTAGAAGATCCACCTAGAACACCCTAACCCTAACCCAGCCCGTTCCAGAGACCTGACCCTAACCATAACCCAGCCCAGCCCAGAGACCTGACCCTAACCCTAATCCAGCCTGGTCCAGAGACATGACCCTAACCCTAACCCAGCCCAGAGAGCTGACCCTAACCCTAACCCAGCCCAGTCCAGTCCGGAGACCTGACCCTAACCCTTAACCCAACCAAGAGACCTAACCCTAACCCGGTCAAGAGACCTATCCCTAACCCCTAATCCTAACCTTACCCCAGTCCAGAGACCTAACCTTAACCCTAACCTAGCCCGGTACAGACCTAACCCTAACCCAGCCCACAGACCTAACCCTAACCCACCCTGAGCCAGAGACCTGACACTAACCCTAACCCAAACCCAGCCCGGTCCAGAGACCTGAACCTAACCCTAACCCACTCTGAGCCAGAGACCTGACCCTAACCCTAATGCAAACCCTAACCCAGCCCAGTCCAGAGACCTAACCCTAACCCCTAACCCAACCAAGAGACCTAACCCTAACCCAGCCCGGTACAGACTTAACCCTAACCCAGCCCAGTCCAGAGACCTAACCCTAACCCAGCCCAGTCCAGAGACCTAACCCTAACCCCTAACCCTGACCTAGCCCTAACCCAGCCCACAGACAGCCGGCTCACACTGGACCTCTGATCCGGTTCTCACACCTTCTCCCCCACAGCTCCTATCCTAACCCTAACCCGTACCTCTACCCCCCACAGCTCCTATCCTAACCCTAACCCGTACCTCTACCCCCCACAGCTCCTATCCTAACCCTAACCCGTACCTCTACCCCCCACAGATCCTATCCTAACCCTAACATAGTGATGAGAAATGGAATATTGTGTCTACTCTGTAAGTCGCTTTGGAGAAAAGCGTCTGACAAATGCAGAAACATAAACATAAACATAAACATAAACATAAACATAAACATAAATACCACGTGGTCCTCCCCCTCCTCCCTCCGGCGTTTGGCCCCCGACATGTCCGGGGCTGCTCGGCACCACCGGAGAGGAGAGCCGCGCGCGCGCGCGCGCGCGCGTGCGTGGACCGGACACGCCCCGCCTCGTGCGCACTGAAAACACGAGCTGTGATTGGCTGGTGCTGATGTATGACGCCATAGAATGATCAGAATCAGAATCAGAATCAGAATCAGGTTTATTGCCAAGTAGGTTTTTCACTTTTCACTTTTTTCAATTTTCTTTGCTGTTTGGTGCACAACACTTCTATGAGAAACAAGAAAGGACATACAATGTAGAAATAAAAACATATAATAAAATAAAAATAAATAAAAATAAAAATAATAATGATAATAAAAATGTTGAACGTAGCATTGTGTAAATGAGTGAATTTAAACTGAATTAGGACTGGACCTTCCCGCTGTGGAACTAAAGGCTCTCTGTTGAAATCCTCGGGCCAGTTTCACAAAGTCCCAAAAGCAGAAGTGAGGACTTCCCACTTATGGTTACAGCCTCACGTGTTCTCTACCTCACTGTTTTTCAACCTTTTTTGAGCCAAGGTACAGTTTTTCATTAAAAAAATCCAGAGGCACACCAACCAAAAATGTTAAACAAATCTGTAGCCGCCTATAGTAACACTATAGTTATTCTTATCTTATTCTTAAGTGTCTTGAATAGGAATCAATTAAACACAAAAATGTATTTTTATCATATTTTATATTTCTTCTTTCAAATTGCTCTTAACATGTCCACTTCAATATACAAAATTAAATACAAAATTTAGTCATAAGGAATTATTACATGATTACTCCACCAGTCACTAGAACAGCACACACACTCAAAAATGGAATATTATTTGCAGATAATTATTTCCTTATCAAAACATCTTTTAGACCAATTAAGTGAAATAGGATAAGGTTGGAAAAGGTTGTGAAAGATGGTAGTGTGTGAAAATCAAAACTCCTCACATAGTGGTAGAAACCCTGGGGTTCCAGTTCCTTCTGGGTGCAAACGTCACGAAGCTATTTCCTCACCATCAAATCCTGCTCACTTCCCTAAAATACCTGTCCAGTGGACAGTCCATCTGGACGGCCTGGGCTAGGGTTAGGGTTACAGCACAGGGCCTGTGTTTGTATGTCAGGTGGTCTGATGACTATGGAGAATGGAGAACCGTCCTAGGGGGGTCTGTGGAGAAAAGGCCGGTTTCCTCAGGATGTTCAAAGCAGGGCCACTCAAACCTGGGAGCTAAGGAGCCAATAGGAGGTCAGGAAACACAGCCAGTGGATTTGGCACCTCTCTGTTGTCCTTAACTCAGTGACTGCCAAAGACGTCTATAGAGGTCTTTTATGTTTTTAACGCGAGTGTCTGGGGGACGATCTGCTAAAGCTTGTCCGTAAATATCAGGC